AGATTTTTTAAGTTTTCTCCTTACTGATGCAAAATCTCCAAGTACTCACTTGCCATTTTGGGGACTGAGTCATCCTTGTGAGTGTGTTTTCGGTTCGGTGCATATCTTTGCTGGAAACGTTTGTTGGAGGTACAACTTCATTTTAGAACGCTAATGCTCTCTAGAGAAGGCCAAAACACTGGTGCAGGTAAAGGATATATCATCAAACCCCAATTTGATTACTCGTTGGTTTGGAAGGATGGCTCTGCTACTTCACTGTTGAGGTTTGTTGGTGTGGCAATCCTGGCAAGGCTTGTGTAGACTAGCCCTTACGGTTAATCTGGAGCAAAATCATTAATTTGGCAAGACAGCTGCTTTCCAAAAGCCGAGTGTCTCCCTTGGCTCCTGCAGTCTGGTTCCTGACACCCTGCTCTGGCTGTGGAAGTAGGTCAGGGAACTGCGTTCGCGGCGCGATGACGTGAGAGCAGGTAAAAGTTTTGTGTTGCAAAGCGTCAAACCCAAAGTGTCTGTCTCTTGTTTCCCAGATTTTTAGGTTGCTGCTCACTGTAAATATAAACCTGCTTGAGGTGGCTGTGGTCTGGAGCACTCTCACAGGCACAGTCTTTGCAGACAGGTGTTTGCTTTACCTGTTTAGGTACCAATATACCAGCGCTCTAAGATTAAAGCATTCCAAGGGTTGTGCTGTTGTTCTCTTTATAACTTAGGCCACCATTGTAGAAACACACCAGTTACCTTTTCTTAACAGTTCACAAATAAGGCAGAGATTTTAAAGATAAAAATATTCCCAGAGAATTATGTCTGACTCAGGAAAACAAGCACTATTGGTGGCAGCTGAGTTCTTTGTTTGAATTTTCATTTTGTTTGCTGTTAGGTCTGGCTGGATTTTTAAAAATTATTATTCCCCTCCTGTAAAATTTCATCTGTAAAATGTAAGAAAACCAAGTTTTCAGACACATGGACTCTTTTTTCAATGTGCTTGTCATTCATCTTAACTGTCCCACTGTCTGGTGCTGTCACAGGGATTTGGCTATAAGGTTGAAAGGATGATTGTGTTTTTCTTTGTTTTGCTCTTTTAAAATGACAGTAAGTTGGAAGAGCCACCTGAATTTTAACAAGAACTGTGGACAGTCTTAATTTACCTGTTGGTTTGCTTTTTGTTTGTTTGTGGGGGGGGTTTATTACTGTTTGAATTTGTTTTATGCAATTAGATGTGAATTGTTACTCTGGCAATATCAGCATCTGTCCTTAAGCCCTATTTTAATTTTGAGAATTCACCTTGTTTATATTGCTTACAAATACAGAAGAGGTACTGGAATTTTTTTCCTCGTTCTGCCTTATCTAGTGTCATTTGAGATGACTCATTAGGATTGTATTCCTTAAGTGATGTGGAACAGCAGATTCTAAATTTGTCACACAGACAACATCAAAACACAACATCAACCCAGTTGTTCTGATGCCACTTGCCCAAGGTGTTATGTTTGCCAAACAGTTTTCCTGAGGAGGTACAAGAGTTTGGGGTGGATGTTGAGCATTTATAGAACACTGTTTATGTTACTGGAAGCAGTTTCAGCTTATGGTGATGATCTTAATTAAAAAATGGAAAATATTGGTTTAAAGCATGTGTGGAGCCAAGCTGTTCAAAATTAAATTACTTGATAGAACAGGATGGAGAAGTTGCCATATTTTATTTCCCCCAGCTCTGTGTGTGTTTCAGTTGTGCTCCACTCCCAGCTCAAGGGTTTTCTGGTTGGCTGGGGGGGTTATTTCCTTCTAAATCTTGATGTTCTGGTCTTCCATCTGAATTAAGGAAGACCAAGGCAGCCTTTTCTGCTGTGGTTTGGCAGCTTGGAGCGCTTTTAAAGTAATTAGGAATGTTGTCCACAGTAGGAAGCTGTCACATGCATGTGTCAGAAGCAGCTGTGCTGCAGCTGGGCCCATCTCTGCACCTTGGGTTGCTGATTGCCACTTCCAGCTTTCAGCCACACAAATCACAGGCTGAGTAAATCACCCTGAGGAAGAGTGTGGTGGAAAGCCAGCATCCTCCTCCTGGGATGCTGACAGATTGGGAAGCCTCTGCTTAAGCATATCTAGTAACTTATTTTCTGAAGTGGAATTTGATAGAGGACCAGGGTTAAATGTTTCTCTGAACTGGGAGCAAACATGGTTTGAAATGTTTGCTGTCTGTGTGTGTTATGGCAAGGGTGCCCAGGCCTCAGTTTGCTGGTGAGATGTGGGTGCAGGTCACAGCTGGTGCTGGGTGATGCAAGAGGAGACAGAGCTCCTTGCCCTCCGATTCCATACCTCCTACTCTTCTCTCCTCATTCAGCTTTCTTTCCTTTAGACTCACAGTTTTCTTTCTTACACTTTTCCAGCCCCAAACCTGGTTCTAATATGCCCTTGCATCATGTTTTCCCTCCCCTCTTCCCAACAGGCAGTTGCTGTCCTGCACTGCGTGATGCGAATGACAAGGAGCACCTCCAGCTGCCTTTGGGAATGGCTCCCATGTCATAGCTCAGAAGTATTTGTACCAAAATAAATAACCTTGTAGCTTATTAACCAACAAATTAAAGTCATGTGACAGATGGATAACTATTGCTTCCCATGACACATGATAGGAGCAAAACTTAGTCTGAACTGGGATGCATTTGCATAAGGTGAATGTTTGCCTCCATGCGAGTGTCTGTAGCTGAAATCGTTTGATTTGTTTTCAAGGTTATTTTCCTGCTTTGACTTTGTGTTTTGGCCCTGCATCAGGGGCTGGGCCCTTTCTTTTCAGATTACCAACTGTTGATGCCTGAAAAAATACACAGTAATTAGAACATCTAGCCTGATAAGACCCAAAAACTCTGAACAACACTTTCTTGTTACCAGGAAGCGTCAGTGTAAAGTCCACGCAATGAGGTGATTTAGCTTGGGTGTGTGCAGGTGATGCTAAGATGAAAGATAAATAGCACTAGTCCTTTCCCTAATCTCCCTATTAGTGCTGGCATCAACATGTTTATTATATGCCTTGGGCCTGTTTTAAGCCCCACAGTGTGTTGGACTGTCCAGGTTCTGGGTAGATACTGCTCTGTGTTTGACCATACCAGCTACTCACAGGTACCCGACACATGTGAGATCCAGGTGCCATCCAAGTGCCTCTCTTTTCTGCTGAAGGAAGCCACGTGCTGCAAACCTTGATATATTTTATGTTAAGTGAAAAGAAAAAACAGTTTAATCCCAGGAAACAAGATACAGCTTTCGTTACAAACCAGGAAACCTAAAACTGGAGTGTAAGTGGAGGTGGTAGCAGTAGTAAAATTGAAGTAGTTTGAATAGATTTGAAAACGTGTGAAAAAGCCTTTTACTCTGTGTTGGAATTGAAAAGGCCTCTTACCCTGTGTTATATGCTCTGTAATTCCTTTGTAGGCAGGAAAAGTGCACATTCCACATGGGCAAGGATGGCTCGAGCTGAGGTACATGTTGATCCTGTTGCTGGAGATGTATATTTGGGTTAGAAATTTTCAAGTGACAAGTTGTAAATCAGTGTCTGCTATTGCAGCATGTGCTTTAGTGGGAGTCACCTAATTTTCCTAATCTCCTTCCAAGTGTTAGGAAATAAACAATTTCCTAATCCATACCATGTTGTTGTTGTTATTTGTATTGTAACTTGTGCTGTACAAACACCGAGAGGAGCCGAGCACTGCTGTGAGGTGAGAGATGTGAAGACAAGACCACAGACATGATTAAGTAAAGGGCTAAAATTACCATCCTTATTCACACTTAAAAATAGCTCCTTACAGACTAAGGTTTTATTTGATGTGAGTTGTAGCTTATTTTGTGAGAAACTAATTTGTTCTGATATGAGTAAGTAAAGCAGAATCTGCCTTGAGCTAAGTCCTATTTATGTATTAGTGTGAACATGGGTAGCAGAACACTGACAAACTGGTCACTTCCAGCTTAGCAAAGCCACAGCTTTTCACATTAAGAAACTAATTCTACCTAAGAATATATTCAAATGAATGTAGAAATGCTTTTAAGGCTTTTGTGTGCTGGGATTTACATATAGATATATAAATATACACAGAGGTAATAAAACAAGTTTTCTGGTCTTTATAGAATGTATTCTTCATTGCCTAAAGTGTGGAAAAGAGACATTCAAAATGATCTTTTATTAGCTCTCGTGGCTGTTTGCACCAGACTGGTGGACACTGCTCACTTTTGAATGCTTCAAGTTATCTTTCCTGGAAAAAGTGTTTGCACAAACAGCTGATGGAAAGCAAAGTGTCTGCTGTGTTGTTATTATGAGTTCCCCATCTTTTTCCCCAGTCCCTCTCCTTGCTATTCAAAGGCACATCACAGTGCTCCTGGTATTTTTAAAGGAATTGCTCACAAGTGAGGTGTCCACTGATGCAGATGAATATTTAAAGCTCTGCTGAGCAGCACATGGGCTGTTTCCTGCAACTATGAGCACATGGCTTGGTTACAGCCAGGCATAGCATTAGGCTGATAACATCATAAACTACACAGAATGGTAATGCAGTCCAAATATTTTTGCTGCCAGTGAATATTCTGATCACATCTCCTTACTCTAATTATTTCTTTCTTGGTAAAATGTTTGGGGATTTTTGTTTTGTTTTGGGGTTTTTTCCATCTTTAGCAAAGCAAATTCTTGTGTTTCATCTGTCAGCAGAGCTGCTGTTCTGTTGGAAGGTCTGAGTGAAGTTTTTGAATGCTTGTGATGAATGAGCTGGGATAAAAAATGCTTTGGCTCTTTGATGCCCTGGGTGGTTTGCAAGGCTGAAGTGTTTGTTCAGTTTGGAAATGTGATGAGCAGTATCAGAGACCAGACCTACATCCTTTCCATGCTGATTCAAAGGACAGTTTTCACATCACATTGGAAGGTTTTAACATCCCTGCTCTAGCTCAGGTGACCCACAGCTAGTGTTTGTTTCTTTGGAAACAAATGTGACAGTGCCCAGATTTTTGAGCTTTTCTCTTTTTCTTGTCTCCTCTCTTAGAACAAAATTGAATTACAATCCTCCAAAGGATGATGGCTCAACGTACAAGATTGAACTCGAAGGGATATCTGTTGATATCATGAAAGAGATACTAGATTACATCTTCAGCGGGCAGGTATGGTATTAAAAAGAACTAGACAGCAGCTGGACTGTTTGTCAAAATAACTTGGGTTTTAACATTGTCCTGAAAGATAAACCTGCTGAGGTTTAAAGCTTTGTGATGGAACTTCTGCAGAGTGGGGCTGTGCATGTGAAGTAGAGGCAGTAAGCTCTCTAGTTGTCTCTGCTTTTCTCGTGCAGCCGGGGAGGACTTTAAAATTTAGAGTCAGTGTCAAATGCTTGTATTAAAATTGGTGGCTGCCTTCAATAACCTACCTTAAAGCATGCAGTCTGTGTCAGGTGTGAAAGAGAACTGGTTTGGTGGTAGCTGTAGAGATTGAGACCCCCTCACTGGCCATTACAGTACATCAGGTGTCCTCCCTCAGTGCCCTTCGTGCCCACCTGTCTGGCCTCTTGTTGCTGCCACTGTGCCCCTTCAGATCTGTGTGCCAGGAGCTTTAGCAGGAATTAAAGTTGGTGTGTCCAGTTTATTTGGAACCAGACTGACATTGCTGAATGAGTTTTAATTTTCAGCAGAAAAAGAAAAGGCAGATGTGGCTTGAAATTCTTTTCTGGACATGCATTTTTAAAAACATTATTTATGTATTGCAGCAAAACTCATTTTAGGCTCCCAGATGAGATGAACAATTTTATGGTTGGTTTCTTCAGGCGCAAAATTCCGCTCGACACCTTCTGCCAAGCAAATGCCTTTCCATCCCTGTGTTCATTTATAAAGGGGTAGCAGTCATATCGGTTTCTCCTAATTTTTACACTGGCATTAATGCTCCATTTTTCAGCCACTGAGATTGAGGGTAATGAATGCGGGCATGTCATGGAACAAATGAGTGATAGTAGCTATAACTTCTAAATTAATTCTTGCAGATCAGGCTAAATGAAGAAACTATCCAAGATGTGGTACAGGCAGCTGATCTCCTGCTGCTTACAGACTTAAAAACTCTCTGCTGTGAGTTTTTAGAAGGTTGCATAGCTGCTGAGAACTGTATTGGTATTCGGGACTTTGCACTGCACTATTGTTTGCATCATGTTCACTACCTTGCCTCAGAGTATCTGGAAACTCACTTTCGAGATGTCAGCAGCACAGAGGAATTCTTGGAACTGACTCCTCAAAAACTGAAAGAAGTGCTGTCGATGGAAAAGCTCAATGTTGGAAACGAAAGATACGTCTTTGAAGCGGTGATTAGGTGGATTTCTCATGATTCAGATTCCAGAAAGGTCAGGACATCCAAATGTTTGTATTTTGAATGTGGTGCAGATTGAAGTGTTTATTCTAATCAGTGGGAACTTGAAATAGAACTGTTTCTTTCAGGACTAATCTTGCACTTATGGAATTAATTGAATTTTGCCTGGAATGCAGACCATGGGATTGCAGTAAAAGGGTGAAAGCGCTGTGGGTGATACATCATTTGCTGCCTTTATTATTTGATAGGCAATAAGAAATAAAGTACCATTTTGGCATTTGATGATATAATCTTGTTTTTGTGGAGAGAAAGCAAGTGCATGTTTATGGAGAAATCCTGTGGACTCGATGCATTTTGTTAGTAACATTGTGCTGTGTAGTTTATTATTTCCAAATATAAAAACCTCTCAAGTATTTGACAAATACAGAAGCATCTGTACTTACGGGTGCCTCAGTGCTGTCGTGTGACAGGTGGGTGATTCCCTGGCATCCCTGTCTCCCCTCAGGTTCACATGAAGGATGTCATGTCAGCAGTGTGGGTGTCGGGCCTGGACGCGGCGTATTTACGGGAGCAGATGATGAGCGAGCCGCTGGTGCGGGAGATCGTCAAGGAGTGCAACAACATCCCGCTGACACCCCCCCAGCAGGGAGAGGCCATGCTGGCCTCCTTCAAGCCCCGGGGCTACTCCGAGTGCATCGTGACTGTTGGGGGGGAGGAACGAGTGTAAGTGTGCAGTGACATCGCAGGGCTCACAGCTGGTGCCAGAGCCAGCGCCCAGAGTTCATGGCAGTCTGAAAACACAGCGTGGAGAGAGCACGTGCACCTGCTGCTCTGTCGTTTCAGTTTGGTTTAGGTTGGTCAGATACACCTGAAATACCTCTGGGAATGATTCAGCAATAAATAGTTATTTTGTTTCTGACATTCAACATGTAGTAAACTAAGGGTAGGATGTGTTGTTTGTTCAGCACAGAACTTTGGAGAAGCACCTTTCTGAAGGTCTGAAAAGCATCTATAACAAAACTTAAATGCAGCCAACGTGTGCTTTTACTGTTTTGTTTATGATAGCCATGGTTCAAAAAAACAAGTCATTAGTGGTGCATCTGAGCTGCCAGATGAAAATTCCTGTTCTGCACAATAATCCCTTTCTCTTTTTGAGTACCCCCTGCAGCAGGGGGGAAGGTTCTGTCCTGTTTAAATAAATTTAGCCTTTAGATGTTAGCTCTTTATAGAAGTGTAGTAAACCACTCAGATAACATTTTGCATGTCAGTTTGTGAATCACTTACTCAAACATTACTAATACACTCTGTGAGTTATTTTTAGCTGTTCAAAGTTCTTAAGAAAGAGTACAGGAAGGTACAGTAGGAGTGAAGTGCAGCTGCTTTTTGTCTCCAGTCTGTACAAACTCAATTTACATGTTTGGTTTGTGGGTCTTCTCCTTACCAGGGCAATGCCACACGTGATGAATATACATGAAAACGTGAACAAACAAATTTTGGACACAAGGTGTTAACAGTGAACTTGTAAAACTCTGTCTTGTCTTTCTGTTTTTGTTTGTTCCCTCCCCACCCTGTGTTCAGATCACGGAAACCAACCTCAGTGATGCGGTGTATGTGTCCTCTTTATGATCCCAATAGACAGCTCTGGATTGAACTTGCTCCTATGAGTATTCCAAGGATCAATCATGGAGTATTGTCAGCAGGTAAAGGGGAACTTTGTATTTTTAAAGTCAATATTATGAAAACGTACCAGTGCCTCAAAATCTGAGATACAGCTTATAATAATATATTTTCTTTAAGATTGACTGCACTGGGGTTATTTCATGCTTCCCCTTTGTCTGCCCAAAACTGTACTTGATTCTGTGAAAATCCCTGTCATCCGAGTGTCTTAAAATCACTATTCCCGCAATGTTTTGTGGGAATCTGCTACATCTGTCTCTCCAGGAGTATTTCATGTTTTAAGTAAATTCTAGTTGCTGCATCACTGAACATGTTGAACAGTATCTGCAGGGGTAGACTGGAGTCAGATATAAGTATGTGCTTTGCCTTCTCCAGTCCAGTCTGACCTGTGACTGGTGTGAATCTCTCAGTGAATTCCAGGATACAGCTCACCAGTCACGTTGTCTTGCTCAGTGTACAGGTGTGAGTCCTGTTCTTAAGATCATGTTACATTTTGTTTTACAGAGGGATTTTTATTTGTGCTTGGTGGTCAGGATGAAAACAAGGGAACGCTAAGCTCTGGAGAGAAATATGATCCAGACACCAATTCATGGAGTTCCTTACCACCAATGCATGAGGCAAGATCTCTATCTAACTGTTGGGATTTAAGTTTTTACTTTGGCAAAATGTTCCTTTTCTTCTGCAAAATTTTATTCTGAATCTTCAGTCGCATCTTACACATTCGAAATCATGCTGCAGACTGACTTCCTTTTATATCCTGTTGTTGTTCTTGTGGTCTGATGCTGACTGCTGGATCTGGAAAAACTAAACAGTTGGTGAAGAGCTAACTGTAAGATGAACTACAAAATTTCAGGAGTTTCATAATGCATCAGTCATATAGTGTACTTAATGTTCTGCGTGTACTGGCCTTCTAAAACAAGAGAACTCTGAGATGGACAAAGGGATCGGACTGTGCAGAAAACATGGACAGAGGACTGGCCAACATACAGAACTTGGCTTGCACAGACATACTTAGGTTTGGTTTGAGTTAATGCTTCCTTCTTCATACTTACATTCCATCAGAAAGTTAACAGTCTGTTGTTTGTAAACGTATATCCTTAATACGCCTGTGGTTTTATCTTTGTAGATCAGCACAGGGTGTTTGTTAAGAAATTGTTTGCCCCAGGATTTTCCTCTTTGCAGCCTCTGGTTGGCAAAGGCTTGTAGTTTTGGCTACATCTGTAGTTATGATGCATTAAGTTTCCTGCTTACTAAGAGTAAGACTATGATTGTGATGTTCCCTGTTTGCTGTGAGACTGAGGGGAGTGTGCCCAAACATACAAAATAGAGGAGCTGCCTTTGCACAGATAATGAGTCTTGAGTTTGGCTGCTATAGAGACCTGAAAGCAACAGCTTCATTGTGGAGACCATCACTGTGCAAACTGAAATAGAGCCAAGCTCTGTTCTTAGATTTCTGTGTGGTCTCTTTGGCTTCTGCTGCTCTGCTTTTTATTTTTTTTTTCTTTTAATACCCTTTGTTTAGTTTAGTTGATTAAACTAATAATCTTATGCTGGTGTTTAGGGCTTCACCATTAAAAAAACCAAAGCAAAACAAACCCCAGGCATAACACCAATAGCACTTTGCAGACAGATATGCTGAAAAATAAGATTGTATTGATTTGTTCACAGTGGCTGTTACGTTTTACAGTGTTGACTTTATTGGTATTCCTTAGGCACGACACAATTTTGGTGTGGTAGAGATTGATGGAATTCTGTATATTCTGGGAGGTGAGGATGGTGAAAGGGAGCTGATCTCTATGGAGAGCTATGATATTTATAGCCGGACCTGGACCAAGCAGCCAGACTTGACCATGGTTAGGAAGGTAAGAACTAAATTGTATAGTATTGCAATACTTATGGTTAAACAGGCAATTATATGTATATATAAAAATATATATATTTAAACTTTTTTCTTCAAGTAGAAGCTGTAACAAATAATCTCAAAATGAAAAGAGAGACAGCAGCTTCTTTATTAATATACCAAAAGAAAACTCTGGCTGAGGATTGTTATGCCTGGCATTGTTTGACACATGCTACAGGCAACCCGAATGCCTGTGTGTGTATAGTTAGTTTTGGAAATGCTTTTTCTCTTTTCCATAAGATTGGCTGCTATGCAGCTATGAAGAAGAAAATCTATGCAATGGGTGGAGGCTCCTATGGAAAACTCTTTGAATCTGTGGAGTGTTACGACCCCAGGACTCAGCAGTGGACAGCAATCTGTCCTCTCAAAGAGAGGAGGTGAGTGAAAATGGAAGGGGGAACTAGTTTGCTGTGTACAGCCTTTTCTAACTCTGATGAGAGGAAATTGTCCTTTTGCTGATGAATCCCTGAAGATGGCCCATCAACTTCCCCATGACTTTCTGAGTCATGGTAGCCTGTAGTTAACTCATGGCTGAGGAAAAGAGAAGCATCCAAGCAATAAATACACATTTTGTAGAAATGCACTCCTGACGTTACAAGCAATACTTCCTTGATGCAAAATGAAAATTAGAAATTGTAGTTCAGTTGGAACCTCAGAATTTTTTCAGAGATAAATACTTTTCTGTTTTATGTGTTCTGAATTAGGTGCTTACAATTCAAATCCATGACACAGCTGGTCTTGTTGGATATAAAAGGAATCTGTGTGTGTGTGTGTATAAATAAAAAAGTAAGAAATGGTGGAAGTTCAGAAGGATATGTGAACTGGTTTTGATATATTACATTAATATTTTCTTTTCATTTGGATTTTCAGATTTGGGGCAGTGGCCTGTGGAGTTGCCTCTGAGCTTTATGTCTTTGGTGGAGTCAGGAGTCGTGATGACAGTCAAGCCAGTGAGATGGTGACATGCAAATCTGAATTTTATCATGATGAGTTTAAAAGGTAACTGGCTGCAGCTCTAAACATGGAAAATACATGCCTTACAGTCTTTTGCTTGTTCCCCTGCTGTTGGTCCAACCCTTAAAAGCATATTAGGTCTGTGCTGTGCTCATTTTATTTTTTATGACCCAGTTTGGCTGTTACTGAAGGTCCATCAGTGGCTTTACCCTCTAACATACTGAGCCTGAAGCCCTGGGCCTCCATGCCAGTCTTGAGTGCCCCTGAACAGGACAAGCCCCTTGGTCATACAGGTAGTTTGTGGTTCTTCCCCTGCACTCTGCAATTCCCCCAAGTGCAGGGTACTGCTGCCCCTACCTGTGCTCATGCCCAAGGCTTCTTCTGAGTGCTTATTAAAGGTGTTTTCCAGCCTAGATGGTTCCATGATTCTATGCAGGAGTGTATGTATGTACAGGGATATTTCTTCATGATCCAGTCTTTTGCAGCTTAGGGAATTCCTAAGGTAGGGATAAGAAATTTCATGCATTTTTGCTCCAAGCATTTATAGCTGATGTAGGTTTTTGCCCTAGGAAAGACACTATGGATGCTGTACATTCCACAGCCCTCTCTACATCCTGTGTGGCTGGTCTCCTTCTCTTTGTTTTGAATCTGCTTCCAATTGCTTCATTTGTTGTCTCTTGGCTCTGGTGGTGGAATCCACCTTATTACACGTGGTAACTATTCAAAATGTTACCTTAGGCAGATTTTTTTTGTATAGTCACCTTACTCTCCAGTCATAAGACAAGCTTTGGTTCCTTCAGCAACTTTTTTCTTGCATATGACTATAAATTAGATGATTCTCTTTATAAACTAAATTGAAAAAAAGACTTTGTGGTCAGATGTTTCAAGTCTTGTTGACAGTGGAGAAGATTAGCATGTCTTTATTAGAAGATCAAGACTGATTTATGACAGTGACCTGTATAAAAGGACACAAAAATAGAATAGTAGATGTAAATTCATTATGTAATTTTCTTGCAAGATGTGGTTGTAAAGAGACTAATTTCTGCATGAAGAGGTCTTCTGTGTTGTTCAAAGTGATGTCTAAACTAGCTATAATCCAATGAGGCTGGATGAAAACATCCTTTCAAGTGGATATAGGAAGCAGACAGATAAGAGAGGCTATTGCTGCTGATGCTCCCTAGTGTTTTCTAGCCCTGTGGGGGTGGGGAAATGCTAAAAGTTTATTAACAGTTTTGAAAGAGGTCTTTGAAAGGAAAAGAATTCTGGAAAGAAGTGCTCTCCTCTCTCCTACTTGCTATTTTTAGCTGATTCACTTGAAATATTTCCAGGCTGATCCTCATGATTCCTCACCAGTGACTGTAAACCTGTCCCACTGGTTGGTAGAGGGTGAGCTTTCATGGATTTTGGAGTCCTCGGAGGTTGCAGCCTTGGTGAGTCCGTGGTGCCACCTGCTGCCTGCAGCACCCACACCTGCACAGCGTGTGCTGTGCTTGTGGCCGTGCTCGGGGGCATCCCCGAGGTGTTACAGGGTTCAAATAAAACTGTAGTAAAAATCCAGTTGTTCCAGGTCTTGCTCTGCCCCCCCCGTGTGTGCTGGGTGTGTGGAGTGAGGGCTGTGCCGGCGCAGGGGCCGGGAGGGAGCAGCAGGAGGAGCTGCTGGAGGAGGCACAGGGTGAGGGCTGCCCAGATACTCACATTTGCCTTTTTGCTCTGCCATTGCAGGGTCTGAGGCTAGGAATTGAACTCAGCTTAAGTGTGTGCTTGCACTGCAGGCAAGACACGGGTTGTGGGTGTTCCTTTGGAGGCTGGGGACCAGGGAAGGCTGGGATGACTCTGCCGGCTGGGGATCGTGCTCCCAAAGTTTGGAAGGTCTCGGTTCAGCCCCGGGAGGCACAAGGGGAGCTGTAGCCAGAAGAGGGTGCAGTGTCCCTGTGTTATGTTCCAGCACTCAGCTCCAGGGGTCTGCCAGTTATCCCAGGTTTCCCTCAGAGATCTGTGCAGGTGGGTGCCTTTCAGGGGGGCTGTGGCAGGGGCTGTGACACCTGAGCAGTTGTAACTATGTGGAAAAGGGAGAAAATGGCCATAAAGGGAATTACCTTCAAACTGCAGTTAGCAAATATTTCTGCCTGCCCAGTGCTGAGACAAAGTACGTCGTTGTCCAGTATTCTTTTCTGAAGTAACATTGCATCTGGAAAATGATCGTAATTTCATTAAAATAGTGTCTCAAAACATGAAATGAAAGCATATTGACTCTCTGGAAAATGTGAGGGTGTTATTTCCTGGGCTGATTGAGAAATAGCAGAAAACAAATCTAAATCACTTACTTCACTCAAAATAAATAATATGCTTAAAATAAATAATATGCTTTTCTTAAGTCTGTGAAAACCTTATGCTAAGTAATGATGTGTGTTTGATGAGTTTAGCAATTCCACTTGCACATGCTCTGCTGTGCATCAGCACTCAGGAGTAGAGCATAAGTGATGCCATAGACGTTGCCACAGGTGGACAGTCTCTCAGTTCCTTCGTGCATAGTTACTGTGATGGATGTACAAAGGCAGGTTCTTCATCTTAAACATTATGCAGCTGCTACAAGGTGATCGATTTACAGTTGAAAAGTGCATTTGTTTCCTCAGCAAGGTTCTGAGACAAATACAAGGTGATTAGTCCCCCTTCAAACCAGCAGCTTCAAAAAGTCATCGTGAAGGATCTGAACCCTCAGACTTCACAGCACACACACTTTTTGTAGTTATGGTGATGGAATAATACTGGAGCTGTCAGAGCTGAAATATCACATCAACAACGTATATGTGTGTTATTGGCAGAAATTTAAAAGTGTTGGGTTAATAGATTTGGGGAAAGGAGGAGTATGTTTGCAAGGTGGTTTAGCAGCAGTGGGTCAGAGTGACAGCACATCAATTCTAGCAGTCTCCAACCAAAACTTACCGTGAGTTTTTGATAGTTACATACATCAGTATTCTGTACTTTGTAACAAGCTACGGGCTTTTCCAGCTGTTTTTAAGTGCAGCACTCCATCATGTTCACTTTCTCTTTGACTGGAGAGAACTTTTTGTGCTGTGAGTTGAACCATTGGGTACTGCTGGGTTTCAGGTACGTGCAGCAGTGCACACCTGGGTCATCTGCATGAATTTCCATGTGTGCCTCAGGTCTCATTACCAGGGAGCACAGGGTCAGCACCACCCCAGGCACCCAGAGGCTGTGAGTGTCTGACTTACAGGTTTTACTCCAGTGTGTATGTCTAAGTATGTACTTACAGCAGTATATAAACATATTAATTCCTGTAAGCTGCCATAATTCTGGCTTAAATTGGATTAAAGGACTGAAGTTGTTTAATATTGTTTACTTTGACAGTAACTTACTCCAGAATAACTCACAGTGCGCAGTCTTTCAAAATTGTTATTCTAAACTATGACACGGAGTTTTCTAAAGACTGGGGATATGCTGAGGTCTTCACACTACCAAAAAAATAAACATTGAGACTCCTGTTAAGCTGTGCTGTATAAACAAGTAATAAAATAAATGAAGTGAGGCAGAATAGTAACATCCACATGAAATGTGGAACAGGATAATAGAGAAAATAATTCTCATATTTGAAGTACTGCTGTAACCGAGGTTTTTCAGTTAATAAATGTTTTGTCAGCCTGTCTTTAGAGTCATGTGCATGAGCGAATGTAAGTGAACCAAAGATAGAAAATACATCAGACTGCAGGGCTTTTGCAGGATGTGGATTTTTTTTTTCAAAGGCTATAGATTGAGCTTTGTGTGCGTTGTATCCTGGTTTTTAAAATATTGATCAAGCTAAAAACAGACTTAATAAATGTGAAAGTGGAGGATGGAGATATAAAGGTATCCTTGACTCAGTGGTTCAGTGTTTCTTCTCTATAAAAAGCAGGAAATCTTAACTGTATATTCAAGACCTTGGTGGGTCAGTCTTTACTTCTGCCAGAGTTCCTAATTCATAATATACTTTTTTGCATCACATAGGTGTGCGGAGAATTGGGTGATGTCTGTACATACTTGGGTTTTTTCTTTTCAATGTAGATAATTGGAAATATTTAACAGAGCCCAAATTGGCTTTAGGATTCTTTGCAAGAGCTGCTGGTGGAGCTCTGTCTCTAGGAATAGTCCAACTGCCTTTTGCTGGTGGTCTGGAAGTCAGGTAGGATTTTTTCCTTCTTTTCATGATTCAAAAAAGAATTATGAAACTTTGCAGGTATTAAGGGGGATAAAAGTGAAAGATACCTGTTCAGAAGCAGTACTTGGCAAAAACTCCTTTAAAATGTTCTTTTTGCTACCGGAACATCATAAAAATAAGGAAAAGCTTTCAGCAGTATATAAGTAGTAAACTAAATAATCTTGTAACATGGTACGTGTAATTAGCAAGATTCTTCCATTCAGTGTGCAGGAATTTCATTAAAAGCAAGTGCTTATTAAAATGTGATGAGAACACTGCCTGATGCACTGTCAGATGAGAGGAACACGGATTTCCATTCATTTGCAGGCCTCCTTTCCCAGCTGGGATGAGCTTGAGGTTATATATCTAGAATCTGTTTGTTCTGTATCACATCTTTACTTCCTTCCCACGTGGACATAGAGCAGTTACCATCCTGCCTGTTCATTACAGCAGTGTGGATGGATCATTTGGCTTATATCACTTGAAGAGTGGAAAAAAATCAAGATTCCTTCTTTTTTTTTTTTTTTTAAATTTAAGTGGAAGCACATTTCAGTTCCTGAGCAATCACTCCTGTCCATGGTTACGGTGGTACTGCCTTCCCCCTGCTCCTCTTGGACTCGGTTTGAGTGGAGCCATCCCGGGGAAGTACGCAAGAGTTCTGTTCCAAGGACTGTTTGCAGATTCCTGAAGATTGTGAATTTTTGGTCGTGGTGTTTTTTCCATACTGTTCAAAAGGCAGGCACAGCCCACATTAAGCTGGAGCTTAGTCAAATTCTGATGAAACGTGACCCCTTGCCCTTCCTGTCTTTGTTCCTTCCTAGTTCTAACTGCTAAAGCTGCTGTGAGTGTTCCTGAAAAGTGGGGCCTGTTTTTTAAAGTGTACGTGTTGAGAAAGCTTCAGAATGAATTTTCACAAGCAACTGCAGATACTTTAATATTGTCCTTTGGTGCTCTGCTTGGACCTCACACCGTGGGTTTAGGTATTTTTATTTAAACTCCAAAACCTTGAATATCTAGTGCAGATAAACCTCTGAATTGTTTTTTTCCCCCTTCCTTAACATGGTCCTGTGTTTACTAAAAAAAAAGAAATTCCAATCTTCCTTCTGCACTGCTCTGCCACTTATTCAGTTTTCATAATTCTAGGTCACTTGCTGCTAAAAAGCAGTGAAAACACTGAGTGTGCCCTCTTCCCACAGTAAGGAAGCTAATGAAATATGGTGCAAGATGTTTTGCTCTGTAGGAGGGTTTCTGAACCAGTGTAGAGAACTTCTCTTTTGTTCTGCTCTTAGTTCATCTCTCATCCTCTGTGACAGCTACAAACCATTGCCTTGCTTTCTGCAGGATGTTAATCCTTCAGTGTACAGCACAGACAAAATCATGGACAGCTAATCCTTTCATTTGCCCTTTAAAAATTGATTTCTGTCTCCAAGATAATTGATGTGGAGCAGCATCTCCTTCAGTGCCAGAAGAGAGGTTTACTTCTGAATCAGGAGTTCAGAGAATGCAGAATTTTCCATGGTCAGCAGGTATCTGTGAGGGCATTTCCAAACTTTTTCCCTCAAATTACCCTGGTATGACCATAAAATACATGGGGTGATTTTCAAAGGTTTCTCAGACTTTCCTGTTCTCTGTAAATAATTTAATAAAAGATGTAGGAGCAGTCACCTAAAATGGCCTTGATTTGTATGTCTCAGGATCTGTACCTGGGAACTGTGACACCCTCTGCGAAAGTGTAGCAGAATTTTGTAGGAATTTGTTTCAGAACCAAAGAGAATGCTGACAACTCTAGGCAAGTGGGACACCTTTATAAACCAGCATCCCAGTACATGCTTACCTGCTTTCCAAAGGCTTCAACATGGAAAACTGCTTTTCACTGGGTGGGATGATCAGGCTGCTGTAGTGTTGCAATGAGACTGTGCTTACAGTGAACACAGGGGACTTTTAAGATTACAGTAGGAGCTGGAAAGGGATTGAAAAGAGCCTGATATGTGATTAGGAATTCCATAATGGACATTTTTCTTTTCCAGATTCCCTTACCATTTTGATCTCCAATCTTCTGTCCCTTGTTTGAAGCTGAGCATTGCCAAGTGCTGCATTCTTCTTAGCAGGCCCTTACAAAGCACAATTAGAGAAGTTAAGGAGTTATATGGGAGAAGGCACTGCTTAATAACAAGGTTCTGCCATAGCAATTTGTTATTTCCCCTCGTGTGGGTCATTAAGGCTTATGTGTGTTTATGATTTTACTGATTTTGAGAAAAAACAGCCTAAAATTTTCTCTGTAGGGAAAATTGACTGGCATAGCTGTTGGCTCTGACATGCCTGGTCGCTTCCAGAAGGTCACACTGGGTGGCTGCAAGAGGAATTCATTATAGGTAGATTACACAGATGAGTGGAGCAATTCTGAAATAAAGCAAATTCAGGATACAGCAGTACCAGTTGCTTTTCCTGGCTAGGGGAAGCCAGGACTATTGCAGTCTAGACAACATTCCCACTGCTTTTTACATAACCAGTTACCACGTGCTCTCTGCTTTCGAGTCGAAGATTACAGTTACCAAAAGAATCTGGATTATTTTTTTTTTTTAATAATCACATCCTGTTTTTTAATTATTGTTTTTACAGGTGGATTTATCTAAATGACCAGAACCTCTGTATCCCAACTAGTTCTTCTTTTGTGTACGGAGCTGTGCCCATCGGAGCCAGCATATACGTGATTGGAGATCTCGACACAGGTCAGAACTAGAACTAAAAACCTCTTGTTGCTTATTTTCTTCCAGTCTTTTAAATACTGGGCACTAATGAGACTGAACATTTTAAGGATAAGAGGCTGAGATTCTGTTCTAAGTTGCTGTGGTTCACAGGGATTATGCTGGACATACAGAAACGTGCAGGTTGCTTTTGGAGCTCTTCAGAAACAAGTTCAGTGCAATGAGCATTGGGTGGTTTGGTTGATTAGTTTGAAGATCAGAAAAGAAGACTAAGAGTGTGTTACTGCTTTTATCTAAATGTAAGGAAAACTGTTTCTGCCTGAGGTTGTGGCTCCTGTCTTTGTAGCAGTAAGCAGGCAGTTCTGCATTTTGGGGACATCATCCAGTGGCTCATGTGGATGTGAGAGTGACTCTGGGCTCTAAATCCTGACTGAATAAATGTGTACTAACAAACACAGTCAGTCCTCAGCTTTCAGCATTTGGCCACGTACTGTAAAAGAGGTTTGGAAGACTACATGCTTTTGTGGCCATGTGTACATACGTAAGTTGTGTAACAGGGCTTTCTGCAAAACGTAAATGAGGAAAATTCCAAGTGTGGTGGGTTTAAGTGGATCAGAGACATCACAGTAGTTCCCTTTTGACAATAATTTCAACCACCCTTCCAGCAACCTATCTGTGTTCCTGTGCACTCTCTCCTTCACTCTCTCCTTCATGTGTTTGCATGCTCTGCCAGGGGAAGTTTGGGTTGGATATTAGGAAGACGTTTTTTACAGAGAGAGTAATCAGCCATTGGAACGGGCTGCTCAGGGAGGTGGTGGATTCTCTGTCTCTGGAGGTGTTTAAGATGAGGCTGGATGTGGCATCAGTGCCACAGTCTGGTAACCACGACAGTGTTGGGTCAAGGGTTGGACTCGACGATCTCGGAGGTCTTTTCCAACCAGGTCAATTCTGTGATTATCAGAGGTTCAACGCGGCGGTACCTACAGCACGTTTTAGGCATTTCCTCTCTTTTTTTGTGAACTCAGGCACAAACTATGACTATGTCAGAGAGTTTAAGAGGAGCACGGGCACCTGGCAGCGCACGAAGCCGCTGTTCCCGTCGGACCTGCGGCGCACCGGCTGTGCCGCCCTGCGGATCGCCAACTGCAAACTCTTCCGGCTGCAGCTTCAGCAGGGCTTGTTCCGCATCCGCGTCCCTTCTCCGTGATCCGTGTGCTGGCAGGGGAGGAGACTGGAAGAATTCTGCGCAGCCCACCATAATCTAGCTCTATATAAAAGGAAAAAGCTGAGAAATTACAGCTGAAACTTAACACTGTATGCTGTGCTTTGGTATGGTAACTGTTTTTGTTTTAAATGCTTTAAAAAGCTTGAGTCTCAGTTCTTGTTTGGGAACAAATAACTTAAGTATACATTAAAAAAGAAGAGAGGGGGGAAATAAAAGGGGAGAGCAAGGAAACACCTTCAGTCGTAACCATTTGGAGTTTAAACCGTATTATTGAAGAAGGTTTTTTTTTTGTGTCTGGAACTGTGGGAATTGGTTTCCTTTGGCGAAGCTTATTGGAAAGCGGAACAGATTTCAGGTGCATTTCCCCTGAGGGGAACTGGTCCGAATAAAAGTGCTATCTGGGACTGGATAGCTGTAATACACAGGAGCTGTACAATAACCAACCTCCCTGGTGTGCTGCCAAGACTGCTGCTGGAGCGTGATGCCATAGGAGACGTTGGTCGTTGCACCTTTTATTTCTAGTCCTTCCTCAAAAAGATTTAAGGTCTGTGCCTAAAAATGGTGGAGGTGTGTACATACGGTTTTTCATTCATTTGCAATGGTTTCATTCCTACAAATACTTTTAATATATTTAAAAATGGACTAATCTGAAATGGATACAGTACATTACAGAGAAGTAAACTGGTTTTTTTCTACGCTGTCATTCGAGTAGCCTGACGAACTGGTCTGCAGGTGGGTGGCATGTGCTTCTGGGTGGGCTTTGGTGGCTGTTTTCTTGAAGTGAAAAGGGGGAAGCGGTGTTTGGAACGGTTAGTGGTGATTGCTGCTTTTGGCAAAAGCAAAAAAAAAAAAAAACAAATAGGTTGTGTTCCTTTTTACTTCAGATCACTTGCAAACTCAGAATGGTTTTTAAGCCTGAGGATCGTAGAACGGTGTGTTTTGTCTCTCTCAGAACAAAGGTGAAGTATGACAAGGATATATTTCTTTTGCAGAAAACCTGATTTTTGGATTAAGAGTTCAGGAAAATTTGAACAGCGACTTTAAATTGGGATCAAAAGTTTGTTTACTAATGATTTCCGTGCTAAGGTACAGTCTTGTTTATTGCTGTCTGACTTGGAAAGCTGGGTTTTATGGCGTGGTTATAGTGAAGAACTTAGTATCTTGCATTTTTTTTCTTACTAAGCCTTGTTCACATCAGTAGCGATATTTAATTGCCTTTTTTTTCGTAGTCAAGGTCAGCTGGTAGAACACTTTTACCTCAGTTTTTGATTTCGTTATTGTTGTGATGGGTGGGACGTGACCTCTATTTATTTAAAAGGAATAAAATGGGAGAGATGGGAAATAGAAATAAGACCTCCCGCCCTTCAGAAAAAGAGATTTTGTATAACCAGTATTATAACTACACACAAAACTTTCCACTCTGCACCTTTGTGGACCTCAGACAAGCCAACCTCTGCCCTCAGTTGTGTTAGTGTAAACCTTTGTCATCTTCGCTGAATCATCTTAGACATGCTGAACTACAATCCCAAACTCCTACAGAATAGTGATATTTCACTAAATAACCCTTGAAGAGACATTCTGAAACTTCTGCTCGGTCCTTCCATAGCACTGATGTGTGGTTGGAATTACTCTGATTTCTGAGCAAAGGGTTGGGGGGGGAAAGAAAAGGGCAGCAGCCAATCCATTCACCATTATTTATTTTTTTATTATTTTTTACAATGCTGAAGTGCTGCAAAACTTGAACTATATACATCAATTTTCTGACCTATATTAGTTGACATATTAAAAAGTTTATATATTTATGCATTGCAGTAAACTTGGTGTGTGTATATATATGTCTTTAGATTTTAAATTTATATATAATGCTTTACTACAGAAATGTGAACCACTATTTCCATCCTTGGCTGTCTTGTGAAATAAATCAAGTGCTGTTAGTTTATCTATAAAACTTCCCTTTTTTGAAAAATCTTACATGGATCAATTTTTTTTTTTTCTCAGACAAAGTGCCAAGATCCCATATTCAAAAGTGATGAATGTTCCTAAGTACCTATTTCACTTTTGAGCTCAGTTTTCTAAGTGGCTTGGAAAACTTTCAAAAATGTTATTCAGAATATTGCAGGCTGCTATCTCCCAAGTCCCTGTAGCTTCCCAGCACCCTTGAGGGCATTCAGCACCCAGAAAACATAAGTGATAAATGCACATATTAAATCCAAATCCTCTGTACTCAAGCAGTGTTTTGCAGTTAAAATTACTGAACAGAATGTTTACATTTAAAGTAGGATTAACAGTAGGTATTCTTACTTTTTTTTTTTTAACATAAATAAACAAATCTCTTGTGATTGGAGCGTGTTGCGAGTGCACTTGGTGAGATTTGACCAAGAAGTTTAAGCCTCTTCAGCTGAACCAGTTGCAAACTGAATTTCTTAGCACGCCTGTCCTTGTGTCACGTTCTGTGCAGCCCAGGGACCCTGGGATCAGACCCCGGTGTCTCGAGGGACACTGGCTCCTGGAGTTTGGGGTGCATGCTCAGGCTGAAGATTTGAGCACTCCTGAGCTCTCAAAACTGGCTTCCTTGGTGTTGCTTAAGTGAATGGGGATCATTCCCCATCTGCGTTGTGTGTGGCCGATCCGGGAGCTGTTCCAGGCCCTGTGTGTGTAGGAGGGAAGTGATGTGTCTTTTGGGGTCTGACTCCTGTCTGTCTGCCCTGGTCTGATCTGCAAGTGCATCTCTTGGGATGTGCAATAACCAGGTTTGATTTCTCTCTGAATTTAAGGCAAGGCTTTGATGCCAAGGCTCCCCTTTCTCCAGGGATTGTCCTGGGGATGGTGCAGGAGACAAGAGGCAGAGCTGACCTCTGATTTTCCTTTTGCTTTTCAGAAGAGATGGTCGACTTCAGTAGGGGAGGGAGGCTGTGATTCCAGAGGTGCTGAGTAGAGGGAGGTCACCAGTCTCCTGAGGCGTTGAGCGTGTGAACAGCCATAGGTTGGACTGGGTTCACTGGTAAATGCCACCACCCCAGCTGTCCCTGCACCCCGGTGCTGTGTACCCCTGGTGCTGTGTACCCCTGCATACGATGGCTGAACCACGTGGGAAACAACTCAGGAACTTTCTGAGGTGCAGTCCAGGGGTCTTAGGTGGTTTGGCAGTTTAGAAACTTAGTTTGAGTTGTCCTTGCTTGGCACAGTGGGCTTAATTCCTTCCAGCTCCTGAATCAGCTCTCTCGTTCAGCCAGGTCCTCCACGGGTGACTCTGTGAATGTTTCTCCTGGCCCTCTGTCCCTGCCATCTGAGGCTTCACCACCAGGCTTTAGGCACCTTCCCTGGGGCTGAGAGTTCATCTCAGCATTGAAATGCTGATGTTTTTAGACCAACATTTGTATTTCTGCAAAGTGCCACTGACTCGGTGCCCGGCACACCTTGGACCTGGGCTGGGTCCTTGGGTGCACCTTGAGTCAAGCTCAGCACAATCCCAAACCAGGACTGGCTGGGCCACCTTGAGCTTAAGGAACTTGGACTGGGCCTCTGTGTCCTTTTTCCTTCCCCTGCTGAGGAACTGGACAAACCCCAGCCACTGTCATCAGAAAATCACCAAAATACGGGGTAGGAGTTGTGGAAGATGGGAAGAGAGGTGGCTTTTTCTTCTCCCCTCACTCCATCTCTTACCACAGTTCCCCCCCCAAAAAAAAATTCCCTCTTCCTTTTTTTTTTCTTCATGTGCCACGGGTTATTTTTGGAAGAACTTTGGAATTGCTAATTTTAGGTTAAATCAAAAGTTTTGAGTGTACAAGTGGGGGGAAAGAAAGAGATACTATTGTAAGCACACGGCAGCGTCCTCTGTGCTTGTTTTACACCTGTAGTCTTGTGGCTGCTCTGTACAGCAGAGAGAAGGATTTACAGAAGCAAAGGTGTAAAGTGCTGTTGCTCTCAAAAATAAATCCCTCAGGTACCTGAGGGAGGCACACACCTGGCCTTGTGAGATGGTCCTAAAGAGTCAGGGTTGGATTTCAAATTCTTTCTGTGTTTATAACCTGAAGAAGAGGCATCCTGAAGAGTCTTCTGTTTTGCTGTACCACAGCGAGGTCTGCCTGTCCTCAAATGTTTGATCAGCTAGTCCTTAAGTTTTAGTTGTTGTGAAAGTGCTGTATCAACCCAGCTGCTCCTGGTCGAGGGACTCTCCACAGCTTTGGGGGCACCTCGTCTGTGAATTGAAGGCAAATGGATACGAGGTCACGCAGCAGGATAGTGGTTGAGTCTGAAAACAAAGCAAATTCACAACCTCAGCTCACTGATAGCTGTGGGCAGGCTGTGCTTGGACTGCACAGCACGTGCCTGGCACACAGCCTGCCTTCTGGGGCAGAGATCTGGGTGAAAATAAGAGGTTTTTATCAGAGCTGCCGAGGCACCTGGTTTACGAACTCCCCTCGCAGAACACACCAGGCAGCTTGGTTTCTTTGCAATATTTCTTGTGCCTGCACGACTCAGGAAATGCACAAGTACAGGAGTGAGGGGTTTAGGGATGTCTTTCCCTGTTTTAACTGCAGTTCCTCTGGTTGTTCCATAAATACCGTGGCCATCCAGCCTGCATGGGCTCTGCTAACGTGCGTGTGCCGTGCAAAGTGGAGGATGCAATAACAAATGCAAGTTGATACAAGTGCCAAAATTTTGGTTTACTCTGTGTGTAACAATAATTCAGCTGATCTACTAAAATATAGAGATGCTTACAATTCACTGTGTTCCAAAAAAGAGCAGTGGTTTGGGTTTTTTTGTTTTTTGGTTTTTTTTAAATGTATGCTATTGAAAACACTGTAAATTTTTACTTTTTTTTTTTTTAAATACTGTTCTGCAGGTTTGTTACTCTTCACAGCTGCCTTGAATATCACTCCATGTGATGGCTATGGACACTTTGCTCTTTATTAGAGCACTGGTGCCATGCAAGTATATAATAAGTGGCAGCTGACAACAGGTTTTAGTATTTAAAATTCTAAGTAGTTAGATGAAGTGCAGTTCGTTTGCATTAGTTGGCCTGCAGTGTCTCGGGAAGTGTGGCTGTGCCCAGGGACACAGACAGACCAAGGCCTGGTTTGGTGCCACTCACAGCCATGCTGTCAAAGGAGTTACATTTAATTTAGGGTATGGATCCTTCCTGCCTCTAATTTAGCACTGAGGACGGTGGGGGTTGTGCTCTCTGAGCTCTTTGGAGTACTTAAACAGCTCCTCCAGGTGGGTGGGAGGGGTGTTAATGACATCCCTGTGTGCAGGAGCTGCTATTTCCATCTTCTCTTGGAGTGTTTCCTTTTCCTGTCCAGGAACAAGTGCAGGGCTGCGTTTCGCTCGTCGCTGCTGCAGCCTTTTGACGTTTGCCATTTTCTGCTGCTCTTCCTTGTCTTTTCTTGGAGCTGGGAGCTGCACCTGTAGGTTCTGTGTTTCTGTGGCACACCACTTGGGAAAGGAAAGTACAGAGATCACTCTGATCCCTTGGGATTGGGAAGGTGACCCAGGGAAAGCTGAAGGCAGTGAGATTTGGGGGCAGCTCCACTCATTTTCTGTGGGGGTCACATCCACATACTCTGAAGTTTATTGATAAGTTGGGCACCTGCTCTCCATTATCCCTGTGGTTTCTGGTGTGGGGTTTTTTTTCCTGTGAAATTCCTTGCTGTAGGAAGGATTGCAGCCAGGGTTTAAGGTGACACCTCTGATCAGCCATGCCCAGCATGACTCTGCAGCCTGACTGCTGTTGTCCTCCAGTAATCAATTGTCTCAAAATTTTGATTAACAGGTAATCTAAAAACATGGGCTAAAGCCATGTGAAGTGCCCAACTTGATAAACACCTGCTCAAAAGGATTAAAGGTAACAGGAGAATTAAACTATGAACTGCTACCAACGGGTGATTATGTTGTAAATTTGTTGGCAATACAAAATCTTAGATATTTTTCTAAATACCTTATTCTAGGTAGCTGCTTCTTAGTTGTAAAAATATTTGAAATACATAAAGATGTTGTTTAGAATAATATTTGAAGGTTATTGTCTTGAAAAGTGAGCTGGAAGATTGGAGCTTTTCAATGGCAAAGGCTAAATCTTGTTTGCCCAGTGCTTTTGCAGGGTTTCTGGTGAACAGAGAACACCTGCCAGGGCACATCAGTGCATGAGGGTGCTCAATGCCACTGCCTACCTGTGCCCTTGAATTGGCATAATGAAATGAGGCTGTTCTGAGCCCTGGTAAAAGCTGAGGGATCTGATTACAATAATAAGATAGAAAGAAGTGTCCCCAATGTCAATAATATTATTGATAAAACACGAAAATACAATTTATTTTTTTTTCAAATACTGGGTACTTTTGAATCACCACTTAATGCCCTTGATTATTTTTTTTTCTTCTTTGCCTTTCATCCTTTTCACTTAATGCTAAAATATCCTCAGTTCTTGTCAAGGGCAAGTTTCTCTCCTCTGTATTTGCAGCCCCAGGAGCCTGACAGACCCCCTGTCACAGGCTGTGCAATGGGCTGTCTCTCCAGTGTAATTTCTGTGCATTCTCTGTGCTGCCACCTCTGCCAACTTCAGAACATTTAAAAAAAAAAAACCAACCCTGTAGAACAATTTTGCACCAGATGAAAGCAAGAGCCATTTTGGAAAGTCTAAATGTCAGTCTGCAATAATTAGTGTGCTTTGAAAACCTGATCCCTGGCTGGGCTTGAGGTTCTCTCCTGAATGGTCTGACACTGATTGATCTGCCTTATCAATTTTATTAACCTGCTTTATCAATTCACACGTGACAGCAGGAAAGCATTATCATCCTTGTCACTTGTTTCACTTGTCCTTGTCACTTGTTTTTAACTCTTAAAAAGCAAAGTCTGCTTATTTATTGGAGTATATAAACCAGTACACCGGGGTATCTGCCAAGGTGGTCGGGTTGAACAGAGCTGACATTCTGCAAAGCTCTTGTTAAAGTTTCTTTCTGAAGGGAAGCCAGGGAGTGCCCTCTTAAGAAATACTTTCAAATTCTTTCAGAACTGGTCTTAAACGAGTCCAAAGGACTCCTTTGGATTGCTCAGAGTGCACGGGGTCTGTTCGAGCTTTTGTTTGCTTCGGGAAACAGCTGCTAAGTCAATTTGAAGCATTATTTTTTCATCCCTGACTTCCCAAACCGAAATAGGTAAATTAAAAATTGCTTCTTTTAATAGAAACATTTTTGTATTTAAGGGTTGGAGGCTGCATTTTTGCAATATGTGGTGAGTTTGTATTGCACCTTAGTTTAGTGGCTGTAAACAGCGATCTGTGTCCTGGTGGACTCCTGACAGGTACTTTTCAGTGCTTGGAGCAGAGGAGAAATATCAGTAAAACAAGATTTTCTAGGGGGGAAAGCCCCGATTCCCAGCTACCTCATTTTTTTTCCCTTGCACTTTGTCAAATCTTTTTGTTTTGTTTTAAATCACGTTTTGCCCTTCAATTAAAAAAAAAAAACTAAAAGCAGACAAGAAGCAGGACAGAATGGTGCCATTGCCCAAGGACAGTTTACTTTAATTTCATTTTAAATTAATGTTTCTGTACAAAAAGACCAAGGTTGACCTGCAGCTGCTGTAAAAAGTAAATAAAAATGTGTATTCCTTGAAAGTAACTATTATACTTGGAAATGAGAGTAGCAATTGAAAGACTGTCCTGATGATTTTTAAATAGGAATAGATCTGTTTAAAAAAATGGAAGTCTCTGCTCTTTTAAGGACAGATCAGATAGTTTTCTCTCTGCCTCTGCTCTGCACTGTTTTGCCTGTGATCCATTATCTCAGTGGAGAGATTCACTGATTTTTTTCTGTAAAGTCTAATTGGCTGTTTTTCTGTGCAGTTCCCCATTTGCTCACCTGCAGAGGAAAAACTGTCAAAAATCAATACCCACCTTCTGCACCTGAACTCAGTTAATTGCCCGTTTCTTTGGGATCTTCAAGTATGTGGGGTTTTGCTTAGCTTGAAGAAGTGTGCTTTCTTCTGCTTCTAAAGGTGCTATTTTGACATAATTTTGAACTCCTTACACTGTGCTTGACTTCTCAAAGGACTGATATGAGCTGATAATCAGCTCGTGTTTATTCTCTGGGGTTTTTCTTTGACTATTCAGTCTGGTTTTTAAAATACATCCCTTTTCATAAAGATGGCTCCCGAACTGTCAGAGGCCTTAATAATACAAAATGTAACGGGGGAGTGCTGCCTTTTTCCTTTCTCTGTAAAGGCAAAGCCAAGAAATGCTTCACGGGGAACGTTTTCCTCTAAAATTTTAAGGAGCAGCTCATGCTTTGAGTTCAATGTAGCAAACATTCTACTGGCCACGCACGAATAGTAGGGACAAAACAAGGAGCTATTCATGCCCCTGCAGACTGAACCAATTAGCTGCTAATTCCAGAGCCTTCCATTGGCATCATGGTGGCTATTCTGTAAATATTAATGTTCCTGGGCTCGGTCCCAGGACCTGGCTGTGTGTCTGGGACACGCTGACCAGCGTGGCTGTCAGAGCACTGGGGTGTTGGGCCGGGTGTGGGGTTTGACTCAGACCTCACCTGCTCAGCCCCCCGAGGGTGTGGGTGCCACAGAGGGTCAGGAGGTAGAAGGAGAGAAGCTCCCAAGAGCACAGACATCAGCTTAGCAGGCCTGAGGAGAGGCTCTTGTAGACGCCAGCCATGGAGTAGAGAGATGAATTTTAGTCCTGTATAGGAACTCTTTTGTTGTCCTTATTGTGCTGTTTTTTATTTGTATTTAATCTCTATCATCAGTTTGGTGTAGGGGTTTGGTAACTGCTACAAGTTTTTCATTCTGTGGAGAATATGAGTCCTACTCCTGCCCTGTGTGAAGCAGCAGAGAGGATCAAGGGTTGGTGTTTGAACCTGTCCCCTCTCCAGCAGCAGGTTATTGTCTTCCCGTAGGCTTCACAGTCCCAATGCTGTAGCATTTCTCAGTTAATGTAAGAGCCCTTCAGCCTTTTCAGAAGAGTCCAGAGACTGCCTTGTCCTTCTCCTCCTTCCCATCTTGGGTGCTGCCCTCTGGACCGTCTGAACTCATCCAGGTTGTCCAGGAGCCACGGGCTGTGGCCTCATGAGGAGTACCTGTGTTACCTGCAGTGCTGTCTGAAAAACAGCTGATAAATGAGGGACCCAGGAGAACCCCACTGCACTTGCAAGTCTCTGATCCTCTCACTTTAGGGAAGGCTGAAGAGCAGCATTGTCCATTGCCTGTGCAGAGTCTGAGCTTTGCAGCTGCGCTCTGGCAGCACAGGTAAGGATGAGTCCACCCTGCCCCTTCCATAAGGGTAAGATATGAAAGGATTATGGACTGGGTGTTATAGGAGAACCAATATTTCGCGTTGCTTCTATTTAAATCTGAAAATACTGGGGTCTCTGAAACCGTGTCTGCAGGCTGGAACCGCATCTATTGGCCTAAATAACCGAGGAGCTCCTTCCTGCCTGGTTTTCCCCTCCACTTGTTTTTTTTCTGAGAAACCAGAGATGTGGAACTGCATCCCAGTTTGTCTGGTCACTGCTTTGTAATCTGAAGTGGAGCCTGACAAGCCGAGACTGTTCTGATTTTGCCTTCAAAGGGAAAAAGCAAAATTTCTTCACATTAGGTGCTCTACCTTCAGAGTTCTCCCTCTGTAAACCATGTTTATTGAGTAGCATGAATCTTGTAGGATTGGGCTAAAGAATATAAATACATATTATATGAATGATGACTAATGTATTTAGTCTGACTTTGTACGGTACAAATACTTTATTTTAGCGTAAGAGAATGAAATAACTACACTGAATAATCCAATTATGATATTCCATGAACCAAGAAATAGGAGGGTGTTGCAATGTGATGCCACATTGCTGCTGCTCTCACAAAGGTTCGGTGTTCTGTAAAATCTAAGATCTTGATAATGACCAGGAGATTGTCAGAATATATTGACACTTTTCCTACAAAAAATACGCTGGTGTGGTGTGGTAGAAACACTCACCTGGTCTTGTTTACTGTTGCTGGCATGCAGCTTGACAGCAAGGTTTGTTCCCATCATCCAGCTGTCATGCTTTGACTTCTGTGTTACAGATGTGTTTACTGCTACAGGCTCTTTGTGTGTGTACGTGTTCTGTGGGTCTGTCTGTGCTTTGTGTGGGAATGAAGTTTTTGCTTTTATTTATGTGTCCACCCCAAAAGTCTTCACGTGTTGCTTTAGAAATGAGTTGGTGAATCACTTGGGGCCAGGCTTTGGAATGCTCTGATCTGAGTATGTTGAGTTACTTCTGTTAAAAACAGGGAAAAATAAGACGTAAATGCTCTTTGGCCTCAATCAAACTATGCAATACAGCACACCAGAGAGCAGAATTCCTTGTGATACAGAAGATGTGCGGCTCCTGTGTCCTTCCAAGTCCAGTCCTTGGTCCAAGGTTAGGAGAACTTGTACTCAGTGGCTGCCCAAGAATCTTGTATCCAAACCCACTCCAGTTCACTGGTTTCCCTCCTGCCCCCTTGCCTGGCCCAGCAGTTTATCTGGGTCAGTGTATGGGTGTTTGAGCTGGAATGATGTCCTGTCCAAGTGTGTCCCTCCTGTCCTCTCGTGGTGTTGTCGATTGGAGCTCGTCCCGTGATCCCACCAGCGCGGCTTTTCCCGCTGGAGCGAGTTGGTGCCACTCCCCAACATTTGCCTGTCTCAGCTCTAGAGCAGGTCGGGTGTTTGGGGTTTGCTGTGCCCCTCTGGGCTGATGTTGTCTTGCTTTTATGTTCCTGTGTCATTCAGTTGTGAGTCTGGTCCTGACAGCAGAGAATCCCCGTGACATCCCAAACCCAGTCCAAGTACGTTTTCATTTCCAACGCTTCTCTGTGTCTGAGTTTGATTTTGCTGCTTCGGTGGCAATTCAGGGATAAATGCCCACGTGGTCAGGACTGCTGGTAAAGGTTCTTTGTTCTCCCATTGATTCGTTTTTTCCAGTGAAATTTGTTCCTTGTGTTCCTCTCCCTCCCCCTGTTCCCTGTCAGTAAAACGGGTACGCTGTTTTCCCTGCTCCTGCATCCCGTGAGGAGCTTTCATCTCCCAGGTGCTCTTGTCGTCTCACCTTCACATCATTCTCCATTTACTTAACCCACCCTGCACCTCACACTGCTCCTCCCTCCTAACTCCCTTTCCTATTTCACCTTTCTCTAATTCAGATGAACCTTGATTTCTTTTTCTGTTTCCAAAAAAGGGATTTCGGTGCATAACCTGGGAGACAGAAAAGCTCTCTCTGCAGGTGTCTGTGTGTATCCATTCCCTCCCCAGCACACACAGTGTGAAGGGTTCAGCCTGTTCCGTTCCTATCCCCAGGTTTTCCCTAGTGTGAAGCAGAACACAGGCTGAAGCCATTTCTTATTTCTTTTGGTAGTTGAAAATATTTGGAGATTTTCTTCTTTGGAAATAGCTGCTGCAGATGAGCAGCTGGCAGAAGAGAGGGTTGTTATGCTTCCATATTCAGTATTTTTAATTGAGGAACAAATAATTTATTTTGGGAAAAAAATGTAAATTTTTTTGTATTTGTATGTCAAAGTGGCCTTTATAGGAAAAGCACATAAAATATTTAGATTAAAATTGCTTAGTTATGTAATTTTAGTGGGGACTTTTGTATTGACAGGGTTTCTATGCATTTTTCAAAATATACTTGCTGTTTTGTGTTAGAATTATTGGAAATCTTTTTAAAAACATGTATTAACACATTTTCCATGGTTGATCCCTTTACTATCATTCCTTTTGAATACTACAAAGGTTTTAATTAACCCTGTAAATTAATTTTCCCCCACAAGTGTTTGCATTAAGTCAATACAATGAGTTATAGCATGGGTATGTAGCTTTAAGGGAATAAGCCTAATTAGTGCAGCTTAATTATGGGGAGATCTGTTCGGAGAAGGGCGGAACGCGGGGTTTCAATTGCACTTAAACCACTGAATTAGGAAATTTAGGTTTTTGCTGTACCTCAGTAGGATTTTATTAAACTGTTTCCATCCTGTATTGTTTACACTTGAGCATTGTTTAACTATGCACCGTTTGTGCAGTTTGCAGTTCTCCTTCATTCTGTTGGGATTATATGAACATTATCAGGTATGAAAAGTTTTGGAGTGTGTGGTATCCTCGTGGGTTTGACACGAGTTGGGGAGGGAGGAGAGGAAAGTTAGATCCATTAGTGTATTTTTCCATTTAATTATGTACAAGTCTTCACATTGGCTTAGACTAAATAACCGAACTTACAGTTGGACTGTAAGTGCAGTCAATGGTTTGGGGATGGGGGAAGTGAAGGGGTTGCAGAACTCCAGGCAAAAAATACCCTTTTAGTTGCACTGGGGTGCAACTGCCCTGACTGCCTGTGCAAAGCAGAACCCGAGGGGACACATCAGCCCCTGCTGTCACTGCTTGGATTTTCCTTTCTCTTCTCGAGGTGTTCCTGCAAGGTTTGCTGAGTGGACCCTTCCCAGGAACGTCTCTCAACTGACACTTCAGTTTTACCATTTTATGTTTGTCCTTTTAGTTGTTGTTTCTCTTCCCCGAGCGATCCCCCATTGTCCATAGGTTAGTGTAAGTGCAAGCTTTCAGGTGTAGCACCAAACAAACATTGCATGGTACGATGTAGAAAAATGTGCAATTCTAATGGCACTTTGACCCATTGCTGAAACACTGGGTTTTGCCACTGAACAAATTCTCAACAATTGAAAACACTCTGTGTCTACATTAGATGTCTTGAAGGTGAAGCAAAGGGCAGTTACTCCAGTTGTACCCACGGATAATTTGGTATTGATTCTTTTTTTAATAGTTTTGTGATCTGTTTTTAGAAGAACACACACATTTCTTGGTTTACTTTAGTTGCCATAAATTGCCCAGGGCAGAGCCTGGTCCACCTCCATCCATTTATTTTCATGGAGTAGTTGCACAAAAAAACGGGAACAGCAAAGCAGGAAAGCTGTTTGGTTACTCAGCAGTAACCTCCCTTGCAGATTTTGTGGCTCACACACGGTACAAAAAGGGACACAGGAATTTTCCTGGATTCAGTAGCACTCGCTTTGTTTACGTGTTCTGTAGAACGTTGGGTGACTAAAGGGAGGTTCCCTTTTTAAAGTATTTGACTTGTGCTTTGAGGACTTAGTTGCCACTGTGCAAATTGTGCTGTAATATTGTACCAAGGATCAGTGAAAGTGTTTTATCTTTTTTAATGTCGTTTGTATTTGATCGGGTTTTATAAATGTAAGAAAACAGAGTGTTGTATTTTGATCTGAAATTTGCGTATGGTAAAAGTAACTTTGCTTTATGTATTGGAGGTTTGCTCAGAACTTGAATAATTTTATAGAAGGGTACAGACCAAAATTAATTGTCTTAAAGGTGTTTAATAAATTAACCAAATAAAACATTGATTGTTTGAAAACTTGGTAACTGCTCCTTCTGCTTTTTCTTTCTACTTTTAAAAGGAAGAACATAGTTCAAGATTTTCTCTCAAGGTCTTATGAGAAGTGAAGAAAAAAAAAAGGAGCAGTGGATTTTATAAATATCATTTCCCATGAGTTATCTGTTTTATTATTAAACATTCCTACATGCCAGAAGTTTAATCAAAGGGGAAAGCCCAAAGGAAATAAATGAGGAGGAAGGGCTAAGGAAATGAGGGGAGGCGGGAGCAGTCCCTCTCCAGCTCTGTCCAGGCAGTGAGCGCTGGTGATGGTCACTCTGGGAGAGATGGGAGTGGGAAGGAGCCTCTGCTCACCTGGAAAAGCTCTCGTGGTTGTTTCGAGGTCTCCATTCTCCCCAGCAGTCACCCTCACTCGTCCCCTTCACAACTGCTGCTGCTTCCATGTGACCTTTCTGAGCAGAGGAGAAAAATCTGTGGAGTGTAACTGCTCCCAAGGGCAGGTACAAACTGCTCCTTCCAGGGCTGCCTGATATCCCAGCCCTCGGTTGCTCCGTGGTGTGCAGATGTGACCTCTGCAAGTTCAGAGACCTGCATGGTTTTAAGTTGCCAAGCAGCTGCAACTGCAGTTGAGCAATATTCTTGCTTCGTGCCTGCTCCCTTCTGTGATGTCCCAGCCTTGCCTCTGCTGGGGCTGCCTCCACTGGGACCAAGGAGCTGGAGCAAAGGTTTGACCTCCAGGAAAGTACCCTGAGCTCTGCCTACCTGTTCTTAAACAAAAGGACACTGAGGCAAGGCCAAATGCAAGGTAGGAGAAAAGGAAAAGCTGAGGTTTGGGGTAGCTTGGGCAAGGGGAGTGAAGGGGGAAGGCAGCAGCACAGCTTCAAAGCAGAACCAGGTGCTGTAAACACATGGTCTAAAAGAGATGGTGGGTACTAGGAGAGAAAAAATGGATACTTGCTGCATAAACCCCTTTCCTTGCTTAGTTTCACAGCCATACCAAGGTTCTGAACTGCCAGCCAGGTTGGTGCCTCCAGTGTAAACAGGGACTGATGATAGGGAATCTCGTGTTGATTTACCCTTGTTGCTGGGGTTCCCATGGTTATGGGCTCTGCCGTATCTCCCCTGTCTTACTGAGTCTTGGAAACAAAGACAGGAGAGTGAACTTGGATTTATCTTTATTCCACAGCCTGGAATCCTAACAGAAAGGGAAGAGGGCTGCTGCCTGGTTTCCTTTACCTTTTATGCACAGAGGAGATATAACTTCTAAAGTTTCCATTTCTGCCTCTTTTTGCCCCCTCGATTTGTTTTCTAAAGCATCACAGGAGAAATCCAGAAAGGTTCCTTAAACAGGATTTCCAGTTGAGGCTCTCGATGCCTGGGAGCAAGGCCTCCCTGTGCCTCCTTAGCTGCAAGGGACTTGCCAAGAAGGCAAGTTTTGGGGTTGTGCAGCCACATTTGTGACTCTGGTGCTGTCAGGGAGTCACAGCTGTTCACTGGCTTCCACCAGCTTTCTCCTGGCAGGAATGTGCCAGGAGAGGCGTGCAGCTGGCAAACCTCCCTGCAGGTTGGAGCTGCTCTGGAGGCATCTGGGTGTGTGAGCAGCCCCAGCTTTGCTGAGCCAGGCTCTTCCCAGGGCTGGTGCCTCCTAGGTAAGAGGTGGCATCTGTGTCCTTTGCACAGCCCAAGTCTTGGAGCCAGCTTTCAACAGGCTGAGTTTTCCAGGTGAAGAAGAGAGAGGAGGTGATGTGGGAAGGATCAGAAGCTTTGCAGAGCAGGTACCTGGCTCCTGGCCTCCAGAATCTCAGACCAAGCAGCGAGCCTTGCTGTTCCATTTTACTAAATCAGCCCTTTGCACAATGATCACTGGAAAGAGTAAAATTAACTGAGGAATAAATTGCTGTTCAGAATTTAATACAACCCATTGCTTTTTGCCTGGGAGCAGCTGTGAAGTCAGAGACAAAAATTAATGTGGAGTCTGTGGGGGCTTGGGAAAGGTGCAAGTCATTTGACCTGAATGCTGTTGCCACTCCCCAGGTTTTGCTGCTCCAGGTGAAGCAGCAGGATCAGAGCTGTTACTTTTGTTTTTTCTCCAGTGCATTTGGACACGCACAGGCCAAGCTCTGTCACGTGTGGCCTCTGAGGAATCGTGAACCCCAACACCGTGGGCTGGGCTGAAGGAGTTGGCTAATGGAGAATTTACGGTAAGAGCAAAACGTATTTTTAACCACCAGGATATGCTTATCGTCAGGAAAGGGCAAGCAGCACTCCTATCTCTCCAGGGAAGGGGAAGTGTTGAGCGTGACTTTATTTTTTTCCAACTCCTTTTCAAACTCTGAAAGGGTTTTTTTTCCTTGCTGAGACATGTCGTTGGATTAAATCAGGGAGTTACACAGACATCAATCCTGGGTCACAGGTGAAAAATATTAAATGCCAGGCATGCAGTGTTTTTCCATTGCATGTGATGTACGTTCAGGAAAGACCTTTGGAAAGAGTGCTTTGAAACGGGTCTGTTTTGCTTTTTAAAATGCACCAAGAGCCTGTCCAGAAGCTTTTAATTTTTCAGGAGAACTTTGATGTTTTCTGTGTTGAAGAGGAAAGCAGATTCTCCTCGTGGTACCCCGCCCTGCTGCCTCTGGAACAAGCAGCACGTCAGGTGCCTGTGATCCTGGGCTGCTTTTTGGCTTGGGTGCTTTTCTCAGAAGGGGCCTGGATACATCTCCTTGGTTGTCACCGAGCCTGTTTGAACTCTGCCACCCCGGGAGAGCACCCAGGGACACCTGCCCTGGGCTCCTGAAGCGAGTCCAGGGTTCACCTTACTGGGCCCTGACATTTTCCACAGCCTGTGCTGTTCTCCCATTCCTTAATCCTGCCCCTGGACTAGAAAAGCTTTTAAATGAGACACTGTGATTTGCTTGCAGGACAAGGTAACGATGCCTTTCAGGCCACCGAGGCAGGAGGAGTTTGGCTGATCCAGTAAATACCTGCTTGCCTGTTTTAGTCAGTGGTTGGAGTCACAAAGAAAAGAAACGCTTTGAAATGCTAAAAGCTGCCTGACCAAAGAGCCGGGCTGAGGGTGGTGCCGCCCTGCCTCCTTCCATTCCCACGTGCACTGCCCACCTCCCCAAAACCAGTCCCGCCTGTCCTCCCGCTGTTCCTCATCAGCTGCAAGGCCTCCCTCTCCCCCCTTCTCCAGGCTCACTCCTGCCCTTCCTCAGTGCCCCCTTCTCTGAGGTGACTGAGCCCTCAGTGCTCCTGCTCACGCTCTTTTTTGCAGTCTCAGGTTTAAAAGCTGTAGCCCCCACACTCAAACGATCCCCCAGTGCTGGAGTCCCCCGGGCTGTGGGTGACATCAGTGCCCGATTCCAGTTCTCCTCAGGTTTTCCTTCAGCGCTGGATGCAGAGATGGGGAGGGCAGTGCTGTGCTGCTCCTCCCCACGGAGTGGCTGGGTGGGTTTGTCCTAGATTTCTTCCCCCTGATATGCCTGTGTCTAAGGGTGAGTCATGCCAAGCCTGGGCAGAGGGTGATGCTCCCCCAGGAACTGCTCCCTCTGAGATCTGAATGTCTCCTTGGGAAGGGCCTATCTCTTCCCATCAGCTGCCTGTGGAGCTGAGGGCAATGCTCTCCTCTGTGAAGGGCTTGGACATCAGGTGGGGTGATTCTTTGCTTCTTGCTATCTGTGCTTCAGCAGGTTTCGCTGATTTGCAATTAAATCTTCTTTCATGTTGGTTTTAATTGCCTCCTCAGTTCCCCATGCTACAGAGTAATGCTGAAGAATCCATTTTCAGCCCTTTCAGTTCATCTCCTCCTCATTTCAGCTGCGTCTGTGCTTTTCTCCTTGCTGTTGTAGTGTGAAATATTCAGGGAGAAATGTGAAATTCCCTCATCTGAAAGTCATGTACCACATCTTACAGCTTGCCATGAGGCACGGCAATGTTCCTGGCTCTACCTGCTTTGAAGAGCAAACAAAGGAAAGCTGCAAGCACCACAGTGTCTGGTCTTGGCAGATGCTTTGGAGACCAGCCCATTTTCATGGAAATTAGGCTGTTGCTATTAGTTTATTTTTTTGTCAGGACCTGAGTGATTCCTCAATCACTTTTCCATTTTCATAAAGCAGTTTATGAATCACATACACGTAAAATGAAGGAGTTAGCAAATGCTGCTTCCCTTTGATGTACAGTAATCTGGCCTTCTCGTTTCCAACTGCTCCCTGGAATTTTCCATCTTACTGTGCAGATTTCAATGAAAGGTAGCAAAGAAACCCCCCACTACCTTCTACTTGTTTAAAGAGAACAGGAAGGTAGTGCAAGCTAAAACGAAAACAAATCTGGTTTGCAGCTGAATGACACGTTAAGAAAGGAGGAAAGGGCTGAGAAAGAACATTCAGAGACAAACCCTTCAGCTGTGGGGAGTGGGGGAGGTTAAACAGTCCCTGCTCAGAGATGTGCTGGACTCACTTCTTGGTACAGGAGTAACATTATGCCATTGTAGTATTTTCCTGTGTTGACTGTGTTCACTTTTGTGTCTTTAAACACAGGGATGTTCCGTTTGTCTCCAGTTGGAGACATAGCATCAGCTGTGTCTCAGTATCAGTGCACCACCACTCTGTTCAATGTTTACAGCTTTTCCCAACTTTTTTCCTCATGCTGAATGGCATTTTATATCCTTGAGATATTAGTCTGGTGGTTGGCATAACCTAATATCTAACAGTTTCCTGCTACCTGCTGTTAACTGCTCCAGCTTTCTGGGCTCCTTTTCCCCCATAACCTAACCTGTTCCTTGGAGTTGGTGTAGTTCAAATGGCACCACCCTCTCAGACCCTGTTCTGAGATGACAGATGCTCCTTGGAATTACTTTTCATTGTACAAACATGTTGTTATAAAAGTCTTAAACATTAACTTTTTCTTGCCTAAATAGAAGCTGGGAATAATTTAGGGGTAGCATAGGTCTTGCCTACTTTATCCTTGAGTTTGAAAAAGAACTTTTCATATCTCTAGAAGTGAATTTGAACTGGAAGTCTTTTCTGTT